TATTGATGCAAATAATTTATTTCCAGTCTTTTTCCCATATCTCCCATATTCTGGCTAATGGCGCGCCACTGTATGGGCAGAGGCTGCTGCGCAACGCGCATGAAGATAAGCGATGCATATTCACATATGTACGGTGTTCTGTACTGAAGCTAGCTGGAGGAACATTTGAAAATGCAATTCAATCCACTAAGAGCGAGTGATCTGATATTTTTATATGACAGATATGCAGCCATTCACTGTACGAAAAAGTCTCAAAAGTGTCCCCAAAACTTCTTGCTCCATCACCCCCATATCGCTCCCTTTTCGTTCCTTTGCCCCCGTATCGCCCCTTTTCGTTCCATCACCCCCCTGAAAAATGAAATCGCCCCCTGGGGGGCAATATCGCCCAGGTTAAGAACCACTGTTCTAGGCTACACCCTGCATTAGTAACCTCCCCCAGAAAACAGTTAAGGCTATGGGTCCTAGAGCAAGAGGTGCAAAGAATTAAATGGGAGAAGAGTCCCACTGGGGAAATGATAAAAAGAGAGAAGGAGGACAGGGCATTGAAAGGGGCAAACTCTATCCAAGGTCCTGAAGTTGCAACCGAAGCAAATGTTTTAGTACAGGTTTCCACTCAAACCCTCAATTTATTGTAATTCTTTCTTTCTTTCTTTCTTTCTTTCTTTCTTTCTTTCTTTCTTTCTTTCTTTCTTTCTTTCTTTCTTTCTTTCTTTCTTTCTTTCTTTCTTTCTCTCTCTCTCTCTCTCTCTCTCTCTCTCTCTTCTTTGTTTCTTTCTGTCATTCCAAGGAACTCCTACATCACCTCCCTTGCCAAGCCATTGGGTGGTTAAAATATATTTCTCCTCTGTTCTGCTGAAGCTGCCCATGATGCTGGGCCAAGTCAAAAAGGAAAAGCCACAAGATCTCATTGTTGTTGGGAAGTGTGACCAAGGACTGCCTTTATCAGCTTCCTGCTTCCTATTACTTCCTGACAGCTGGGCTAAGTATTGAACAGGATGGTTAAATGATGGGATGTCAGAACCTCTGAGAAGTTCTCCTTCTCGCCTCTTGCTTTTCTTCTGTTGGTGCTAGCAGATGACCACACTGTCTGCCTCCTTGAAATTGTGCTCAGGGTGTTTTATACAAACACGTTTTCTTTGTTGCATGCATGACTGCTCCCCATAAAGGGAAGAAAGTCCTTCCTCAATGGAGAAAATTAATGTATCAGGAAGACTTGAATTCCTTTCTCAACATGTTGGTTTTCTATATGCACAGGGCTTTGAAAATAAAATACGCTGTTCTCTACAGCATCGATAGAAGGATCTTACTAGTGCTGAGTTCTGAGATTATAATTTAATTGCAATTTAATTTGTAGAGAAGGGTAGCATGTTTTGGGGCCAGGGATTTCAAAGACTAGTACCAATGTTTGAACAAAGATTCCTCCTCAGGCTGAAGTATAAATCTATGGCAAGGCGGTGGGTGGGAAACGACCCTTGAAAAAAATCTGCTATTCATGTATTCGATAGCCACTTTGCAGGGAATGAAAAAAAGCAGTTTGTGTTATGTGTTGTGTGCATATTTGCTCATATTAAATAAGGCCATCTTCTCTCCTTTTCTTTAGCCCAGGAGAAGAGACATTGTATTTATATCAAGGCCTCAGAGGCATATATAATTTATTAGGGTTTATTCATTTTTATAAACAAAATGCCTGTCATGAATTTTTGATAGAAAAGGAAACAATACTTTTGAGGGATGGAATAATGGGGGGGGGGGGAAGCAGGTTGTACGTTTTTCCATTCTGACATTGAAATCCTGAAAGTGAGGTGGGGCTTTGGATCAGTTAGGTGGCAAAACATTGGGAACATATTTAAAAAAAAATATCCTAAAACCTTAAGCCGGTTTTTAAAGTGGGATGTTTGTGAGCGGGAGGCTGGAAACCTGCTGTGTGTTGATTTATTTCTGGAGTGTAGTAAAGCCCCTTAGAGGCATCAGATATAACAAGGTAAATAACACATCAAATCTCCCCTCTTGCCAATTGTGTGTGCATGCCAGCTGCAGATGTCTAGGGTTAGGGAACAAAGTACGCAGCATTAAATATACACAAGCTTCCATCCAGGTGGAGGCAGGCAGCAAAGAGTCCTAAGATGTGGGCCATCAAATAAGTAAATAAATAAATAGTCTTTGGAAAGACACAGAGAGCAGCTGTTTTGAATCCTTCCAAGTTATACTTAAGGGATGGAATGATCAGTACTGTCTTTTGAATCAATCTGAATTCCAGTCGCAAAGGGGCTTCTTTCTCACAAAATCCTAGAAAAATATCCAGTGGGAAGTTTTGGATACTGAAGCTAGCGATGCCAATGTTCTTACCCCTATCTGTATTTTTACAGTTCTGTCTCTTGGAAAAGTCAGGAAAGCAAAAAGAACCAAGGGTTACTTGCAGCCTCTTTCCCTTCCTGATAGCAGTTCTTGGAGCAATATGTGATCTTTTCTCCCAGGGAGACTGGTTAGACTGGGAAGTAAATCTCAGAAGATGACAATGGCCGGCCACTTCCTTTTCTTTCTTTCTTTCTTTCTTTCTTTCTTTCTTTCTTTCTTTCTTTCTTTCTTTCTTTCTTTCTTTCTTTCTTTCTTTCTTTCTTTCTTTCTTTCTTTCTTTCCTTTTTTCTTTTTTTAACATGGACCCAGACCAAGAATTGAGAAGAGAGTAGGAAGTTTTAGCAGGGAGGATTAGAATTTATGGCAAAGTGCATGATGTTTGAGGCCAGAGTGCCATGGAGCCCTAAGCTTTGGTTGCAGATTCCAGAGTCTCTTAAAAATAGCTTTGTAAGCTTTTGAACGTGTCAGAAGAGGATCATAGATACATACACAACTATCTGTTTACTAAATACTTAATTAGCTTGGTTTAATTTGTTAGTTTTTGGCCTAAACTTTCAGAGCACCCCTCCCCCCCAGAATGATTGAACTAGCCACAATAGCAGGATTAACATATTGTACTATGTACTATGAAAAAGCAAACAAACCACGTTATTTACTCTAACAGCATAAAGAACACTAGATGATAAAGGATTCCTAGGCCACCATATTCAGCCTGCAAGTTCCCATTACCCTAATTAGCATGTGCGATCATCTAAGATTATGGGAGTTGTAGTCCAGCAACATCGGGAGAGCCTTAAGTTCCCCATCACTGACCTTCTGCAAAGGAATTAGAAAGTGTACAGTGTATTAGAAAAATATGCAAGAGGTCTAGATTCGCTTTAGGTGTTTCTATATGGCCAGCTTGCCTTTGTATAATTACTCCACTGGAACTCATGTATTTTATTTCATGCTACCTCACTGATTTTACGCACTTTGTTCCACACAATTATCCACATCTATAGCTTGGGGATATGTGACAAATGCACACTTTCCTTCTGCTTACTGTCTTTTTGAGAATGTTGATTTTATTATTATTAAATATACTTTGAAGGAAAAACATGACTATTAATTATCTCAAAATAATTGCTTGTTGCATCATCTTGAATTTAGGGAAAGCCAAGAAGATTAGATTTTAGCCTTAAGAGTTCTTTCACGCTGCTTCTTTCGCACCAGTGACTCACTCTGGCATTCAATTAGCTGCCATTCATTTTGGGCCCCTTTCCCCCTCGTTGCATAGTACATGCAAGTCTTAAACATCTTATTCTCACTAGATTCAACTTCTGTGTTTTTCCCGATGCACCAAGTTTTCACCTCCATATAATAAAATGGGCAGAACTGCATTTATATACATGCAAATTTTTAACTTCCATGATAAAAAAATATTATGTTGTCACAAAGTTTGTGATCTATTAAATAAATAAATAAAGAAGCATGGCCACTGTTTACATGTTGTCTACCCTAATAACATTTGTATGTATAGTCAAATTGTCAGATTCATGTGTGAACATATCTCTGTAATGTTCCCACAAAGAAAAATCTGGGTAAGGTAAAGGCAAGAAAGTGGAACTATCCTGCTTTGGGATTCTTTTTTAATCATGAAAATATGAACCACAATGTTGTAAAGCAACAATAAAAAGCTGTGTATTTTCCTAACGTGCGCTCAGTGCAACCAGAAAAAATGCTTAATTGTGCTCCTAATTATAAAACACTGCAGAGCAATTCCACCTTTGCTTCCTTGAAAATGTTTAAAAACAAACAAACGAACACGAAGTGCAAGCAAAGACAGAGCATGTCACAAATGATAGAAGAGAATGTTTTCATGCGGAGTTATTTAAAAATAACAACTAGAGAAGGAATATTATGCTGGTGATGTACAGGCTAACTTCATATTCCATTTTTTCCTCCTATTACATGCTAACAAAACAAAACAAAAAAGGATGAGGGTTTTTAAGACTCTTTGACTTTCCTACGAATAGGGCTGCTTCCTTTGAAAAGAAAAGTAGTGAAGACGATGAAGCACAGCCAGGATAGCGATAGCACTTAGACTTATATGCCGCTTCACAGTGCTTTGCAGCCCTCTCTGAGCAGTTTACAGAGTCAGCCTATTGCCCCCCAACAATCTGGGTCCTCATTTTACCGACCTCGGAAGGATGGAAAGACTGAGTCAGCCGGTCAGGATTGAACTCCTAGCGGTCACCTCCCAAAGAGTTTGACAGCTCACCTGAATTTGTGTGCAAAATTGGGGAGGATGTAAATGTAGGTAGGAAGGGATGCCTGCCTGCTAAGATGGGTGAAATTTCACCCCTACTCTTCTGCTTGGGCAATGGGCACCTACCTATACATCCTTCTCCTCAACTGGGTCCTTTCTCTCCCCTCTCCCATCCTCCCAGAAGAAAGAAGCACCTGTTAAACCTTACATGCCTGCAGCAAGTTAGAGAAACGGACCCGGAAAGGAGAAAGAAGGGAGGTTTTTAATGGGGCGATAGGAAAGGCCAGCTTTGGTACAAAACTTGAGAGTCTGAGCGGTGGGGATTCAGGGATCCTTCTAGTTACAAGATAAGGACTCCAGGGCCGGTCAAGGAAGAGAGGAGAGAGAAAGGACTCACCGTTGGAACCCGCGTGATTTGTCTCAGTCGAAGGGGCATGTTCCTGGACGGCGCGTCTTTCCTTCTAGAGCCGAGCTGCGGGGCTTTGGGGATTCCCTTCGGCTGGACGGCTGGGCTTTTGAAGCTGCAACAGTTTGTCCCGCCGGCCCGGCGCATCCCAGTCGCGCCTGCCCCCGCCTCCAGGACGGGAAGGAGGGGTGGTCCCCCCTGTAATTCCCCCGCCTGTTTTTTTTGGGGGGGGTGCGGTTGGTGGGACGTGAAGGAGAGAAAGAGACGGGGGCAGTCCTGGGATCGGGGCTCGCATCCCGAGTAAATACGAACAAGGAGGTGCAAGTCACACGAACTACTAGCCGGAGAGAAAAGTAGTCGCGCAGCCCGAGGGCATGCGCGCGGTTGCCTGCAAGGAAATAAGGGGTGCCCGGGTCTGTTTTGGGGGACTTGGTAGGATTTGCAGGAGAGATGAGGCGAGGGGGGGGGCGCATCCGGCCTATGGGCCTTGAGCCCAAAGTGCTGGGGATATGAATCCTTCAGAGGAGCGTTTGCAGATGAGTTGATAGAGCTCATCCCTTGGACTTCATTGATCGTAAACCCCCCCCCCCTCCCTTCCTGCTTGGGACCCCGGCTTGCTTGGCTAAAGGTGGTTCTCCTGAGGAAGGGCAGGATAGGGCCGAGGATCCCCTTGTGTTCAAGGGGAAGAAGAGGAAAAGTGTATTGTCTCAGAAAAGGAAGGCCACTTGAGGTGGAATTAAGAAAAAGCTTTGTCTCTCACGTGCCTGTCGGGAAATTTCTCCTTAGTTCTAGGTTGCTTCTGTCCTTGATTAGTTTCCACCCGTTGCTTCTTGTCCTGCCCTCAGGTGCTTTGGAGAATAGTTTGACTCCCTCTTCTTTGGGGCAGCCCCTGAGATATGGGAACACTGCTATCATGTCCCCCCTCGTCCTTCTCTTCATTAAGCTGACTCAGGAATTCTGGGAGTTGAAGTCCATGAGTCATAAAAGAGCAGAGGTTACCTACCCCTGAACTAGACATACCCAATTCCAGCTTTGACATCAGTGTTTTTGCCCCATGACTCTGAAGGGAGGAAATGAGAGGGCTGAGAAAATGGCTTTGGAGGTATCTCTAGTACTCTCCTCCAGCCTTTCCAATACAGGCAGTCCTTGACTTACAACAGTTCATTTAGTGACCGTTTGAAGTTACAACGGGATTGAAAAAAGTGACCATTTTTCCCCACTTATGACCATTGCAGCATCCCTGTGGTCACATGATTCAGATGCTTGGCAACTGGTTCATATTTATGACGGGTGCAGGGTCTCGTGACCAGCTTCTGACAAGCAAAGTCAGTGGGGAAGCCAGATTCACTTAACAACCGTGTTACTAACGTAACAATTTCCGTGATTCACTTAACAACTTGTGTGGCAAGAAAAGTTGTAAAACGGGGCAAAAGTCCCTAAACAAATGTTTCACTTAACAACAGAAATGTTGGGCTCAATTATGGTCATAGGTCGAGGACTACCTGTACATCCGATTTGTAACATTTTATTAAATTATAGAATAAAATGCAAAAATACAAAAGCAAACAGCAGAACACAATGGGGAGGGAAAAGGGGGAACATCTGATGGTAGCTCTTATCAGCTCATTTCAGGAGCTGGTAATGTTGGTTGGAGATGATGGGCAGTTCAATCCACCTAGATGGCCTTAGATTAAGAAAGGCCACGTAAAGCAAGGGCAATAGGACAATCTTTTGGAAACTCTTAACAGCCAAGTCACCACAGAGTCGAATGCAAGGAAGCCAGTGGCGTCAGCCTGGAAAGTTGGAGGGTCCACTGACGAATCAGAGCTCCTGTAAGCCATACACTCAGAATAGCAATAGCAATAGCACTTAGACTTATATACCCTTTCACAGTGCTTTACAGCCCTCTCTGAGCAGTTTACAGAGTCAACCTATGGCTCCCCAACAATCTGGGTCCTCATTTTACCGACCTTGGAAGGATGGAAGGCTGAGTCAACCTTGAGCCGATGAGGATCGAACTGCTGGCGGTCAGCAGAATTAGCCTGCAATACTGCATCCTAACCACTGCGCCACCATGGCTGTGCCTCAAAACATTGGAATTACTCCTAACTAAGAATAGTGTTCTACTTTCCATATTTTTGAAAGATCCTTTTGCTGTGTGCTCTGGGGGTCCTACCCGTCGAAGCTTCTCTGAGTGGCTGGCAGGGTTTTGAAAATGTCATTGCCTTGCAATTAATTTTCTTATTTGTTTTTCCTAAAGGGAAAAAAGAAGAAAAATAGGAAGATCAGTAGTTTTCCTGGGAGACCGATATATACATCTTTCTATCTAAGTAGCTAAGCTGTCTATTATGGTAAAATCCAACGCTTGTCTTCTGAGGAATCAACTGTGAAGGGGAGAACTTTGTCCCATCTTCCTTGCACCGGAGAACCCCATTATAAGATCAGATTCCAATGTTAGCCTTCAAATATGTACAATTTTCATGACTGCACTTCTTCATAGCCCTTGCAAGGCTGAACTGCGGTTATTTGCCAAGACTGACAAAATGCATGTCTTCACCATATGTCAGTCGGCAATCAATTTTATTTTTCATACAAACAAAACTCAGGTATGTTTGCTTCTGGGCCCCTACATTTCACATCAGGCGGGGGTGACATTTATAACTGATGGGGCCATCAACCTGCTGGGTTTATATATATGATAGGTGCGTACATGTGTGTGTGTTTTCTCCATCCTGCTTGATTGCTTGGATAGAAACAAACCTTTCCTTAGTTAATGGCAGGCTAGCCGTTGCTACTAGAGACTGAAGAATCTAATACCATTTTTCTCAACTCTCAATCTATAGATGTGCTAAATTTCCAAGCGTCATCCTCCCTGGTCAGCTGAGGAGCTAGTCTGTCTAACTTGGAATGATGGGAGTTGCAATCCAACACAACTAGAACCCTAAAGTTTGAGAGAAGCTGGTCTCATAATTATAGCAAAATGTTGTTTTGACTCTGAAAAGGAACAGAGCTGTGATGTAAGGGAATATGATGTTAAAACAATGTTTAGTTTTACAGTATTCCCAGCTCACACAGAGATTGAAACAATGAGTATGTTTTATTGTAGTTGCAGCACTTAATCCTCCCAAATTAAAACTGGGGACCTGACTGTACTCAGATGGAAAACCAGAAGGAAATTTCAGGACTATGGGTGACACTGGAAAGTTGAAAAAGCACTCTAAAAGATAGAAAGGGCTAATTATTCCTGTATTGCTCCCAAGAAAATAACACAGATGTCCTTTGAAATCAACAGAAGTTAAGCTTCATTCAAGATTTTATTTGAAAAGATGGGCCAAGATATGTCTGAATTTTCTTCTTATTTGAATAAAGGATTTTGAGATGATAACATCTCTTCTAGTTAGTAAATGCAATGTAATCAAACGGAAGGGGCAAGCTTGGGTGTAGCAGGGAGATATTGTGTTCGATAGGTCCTCTTGCTAAGATGGATTTCCATTGACTTTATCATTTGATAGCAGCTCTAAGAGGTTTAGTGACTTGTGAGGGCCTAGGTCTAATCACTTTTTATATTACCCCTAATGGTACCCAAATGATGCCATGACAGTATCATTGGGGGGGGGGTTTAAAAAGTAAAGATCCTTACAACAACAACAACAACAACAACAACAACAACAACAACAACAACAATAATAATAATAATAATAATAATAATAATAATAATAATAATAAAGTTGGAAGGGACCTTGGAGGTTATCAAGTCCAACCCCCTGCTCAGGCAGGTAACCCTATACCATTTCAGACAAATGGCTGTCCAGTTTCTTCTTAAAAACTTCCAGTGTTGGAGCATTCACCACTTCTGGAGGCAGGTTGTTCCACTGATTAATTGTTCTAACTGTCTGGAAGTTTCTCCTTAGTTCTAGGTTGCTTCTCTCTTTGGTTAGTTTCCACCCGTTGCTTCTTGTCCTGCCTTCAGGTGCCTTGGAAAATAGCTTGACTCCCTCTTCTTTGTGGCAGCCCCTGAGATATTGGAACACTGCTATCATGTCCCCCCTCATCCTTCTCTTCATTATTTATTTATTTATGAGATAAACTAGACATACCCAATTCCAGCAACCGTTCCTTATATGTTTTAGCCTCCAGTCCCCTAATCATTTTTGTTGCTCTTCTCTGTACTCTTTCTAGGGTCTCAATATCTTTTTTACATTGTGGTGACCAAAACTGGATGCAGTATTCCAAGTGTGGCCTTACCAAGGCATTGTAAGTGGTATTAATACTTCACATGATCTTGATTCTATCCCTTTGTTAATGCAGCCTAGCACCGTGTTGGCTTTTTTGGCAGCTGCAACACACTGTTGACTCATATTTAAATGATTGTCCAGTAGGACTCCAAGATTCCTCTCACAATTACTACTATTGAACAATGTACCCCCTATACTATACCTGTATATTTGGTTTTTCTTGCCTAAATGTAGAACCTTATTTTTTTCACCATTGAATTTCATTTTGTTAGATAGCGCCCAGTGTTCAAGTCTGTCCAAATCCTCCTGTATCCTAAGCCTGTCTTCTGGAATGTTGGCTATTCCTGCCAGCTTGGTGTCGTCTGCAAATTTGATGAGTTCCCCATCTATCCCCTCATCCAAATTGTTGATGAAGATGTTGAAGAGCACTGGGCCCAGAACAGAGCCCTGGGGCACCCCACTACACACTTCCCTCCATGTAGATGCGGTTCCATCAAGGACCACACATTGAGTATGGCCAGTCAGCCAGCTACGGATCCATCTAGTGGTAATGCTGTCTAACCCGCATCTTTCTATCTTATCAAGTAGTAGGTTGTGATCTATTTGTCAAATAGCCTCAGAGCAAAATCAAAATCAACCTGGGCTGGAGGTTGGATAGACTTATAAAATCCTAGGATTAGAGAGACCTTGGAAATCTTCAAGCCCAGTCCCTTGTCTGGGGCAGGAATCCTCAGAGCATCCCAGATACATGGCTGTCTAATTTTGTCATAAAAACCTCCCATGACAAAAAACTCACAATTCCATAAAGCAGATTGTTCCACTGCTTTATAACTCGCACAATCAGGAAATTCCTCCTTATTTTGGGGATCTCTCTCTCTCTCTCTGTGTAAAACATCCACCTGGGGCTTCTTGTCCTACTCTTGAGAACTATGGAGAATAAATTCATGCTCTCGTTCCTTGCGAAAAAAA